AGCCTTTTAATTAATCAGTTTCAGAGTGAGGAATGTTCTGTTAGTTGAAATAAAAGCACAGGTTATATACTTAAATCACAGCTGGGGAAGGTGGATTACAAGCAATCATTTAGTGATTTCCCACAAGAAACTCTGTGAGTCCCACGATGCAACAATTCTGAAGTCAAGTCTTTGGTAGTTGTGACCACCTCCCCTAAAGTACAGAACCAGAGTTCTGTGACAGGTTCTGCAATCTTTGATTCACTTCATTTAAGGTCTAGTGATTGTGAGCATTGTCAGAGTTTTAATTAATCTGTTTAAGGTGCATTGTGAGCTCTGACTCCCAAGCTAGAGAGGCAGCTCTTGAGAAAACTAAATTATTAATATATTCATTACACATATATCAATTAATATGAAAATTATAAATTCCTTTCTCATTCCTAAATAACTAAGGAGTTGGTCCATGATTTCCTCATCCAGGATGTAAAGGCAGGTAATAAGGTACTAAATTAAGTGTTAAAACTGTGTAAATCATTGAAGGTAAAGGATAGGTTGTGCAGATGATGAGGTGTTAATGTGTTAACAAGGTGTTATGCTTTTATAAAGTGTGAAATTCTCCCTGAAGAAATTAGAGGGGCCTGCTTACCATTAAGTATTAGAAGATTTGCCATGCCCTGTTGTCTTTGAAAAACTAGCTTTTGCTAAGGTCTGTAGTTAAGTCAAAATGGAAAGTAGCTTTGGGAATGGTTTGGATTTCCTTTCACCACATGGTCAGAGCAGATGAGCTCTTCAAACAGTAGGAGATACCACATTCAACAAAGAGTAGAGACGCACAATTTCCAGACACTGATGAAGGGAGGGAGTTAAACTGAGCAACTGTAAAGAGGAAGCAGCTTCAAAAAATGGAACCTCTGGCAGCAAAGAAAAGACCTAACTTTGGACTCAAGAACTATCCTTGACAATTGAAAGTTAAGCAGCAAACAAAAAGAGACATGAGAGGCCCAAGCAAGCAAACCTTTAAAGAACAATTAGGAGCCACACTATACAAATTATTCTCAAAAATTGAAAAAGAAAGAATCCTACCAGAATCTTTTTATGGTACAAATATAGTCCTGTTATCTAAGCTACAAAATGATAAAAGTTAGAAATTAAACTATGGACCACTATCCTTAATGAATATAGATTTTAAAAAATGTAAACAAAATTCTCTTAGACTATAACAATTTATCCAAAAAACCATTCATTATGAACAAGTTGGATTTATACCAGAGATGCAACATTAGTTCAACATTAGGAAAACATTCAATATAATTAATCACATTGAAAACCAATAAGCCTTTAACAAAGTATAACACTCATTTATGCTAAAAGCCTACAAAATGTACGCTTAAAGCAGGCCTGCACAACCTGCACCCAGGCACACCAAAGGATTTTGGGCAACCCATGAAAAATGTAGAAGATGTTTTCCTCTACATTTTACGCAGGCCACCGAAAATCCTTTGGCCATGGGCCATAAGTGACCTGTGGGCCACAGGTTGTGTAGGCCTGGCATAAATGGACCTTTTTTTTTTGACATCACAAAAAGTACATCTCTGATGCCAAAAGTAAGCCTCATATTCAGTGGAGATTGATCTTTTTCTAATAAATAGGGAGTAAAGCAAGGTTACTCACTCTCCACTCTATTATATAGTTGTGGAAATGCTAGCAACAACAACAAAAGAAGGAAATGAAAGACATAAATATAGACAAAGAAAAAATTAAAGACAAAGACAAAGAAAGGTTAAAACTATATCTGTTGATGATATGATGGTATCCTTTGAAAATCCTAGGAAATCAACAAAAGTACTAATTGATTATAGCTTCAGCAAAGTTGAAGCCTACAAAATTAGTCCTTAACTGTCAACTATAGGCCTCTGGAGGAGGCAGTTTGAGTTCCCCATTCCCTGGAGTCAGGAGAGGGGGCTGCAGGCAGCTCAAGGTATGCCTGCTTTTTTACCCTCTCCCCTGCCCAACCACCTGCATGACTGATCCCTGAGGATCCTGTGTGTGCATGTTCAAACAGGGTCTGTGAGGGAAGGGAAAAAAAAGGTCAGCCCAACTGATGGATGCATTTGGAAAATGTGTGCAGTGTATAATACCAGGGATTTCTCACCTCCACAAAGGAGAAGGAAAAACAAATGTCAGCTCAACTATATAACACTCAGAGAACAACATAGTTGTAGTTGAAGACATGCGTGCTTTTAGAGAACATTCTGGTTACTGCAGCCTTGCTTTTTGTGGAAATACATCTAGTCTTGGTATACACACTGGACAAGATATTTGTGGCTAGAGACACTCTCTACAAGGACATTCTGGTTACTGCAGCTTAGTTCTCTGTGGAAACACATCTAGTCTCAAAACATTCAGAGGAGAAGATACTTGTGGCAAGAGACAGTGTCTGTGAGAACATTTTGATTACTACAGACTTGCTGTCTGGAAATACATGTAGTCTTGGAACAGTCAGAAGACAAGATACTTATGGCAGGATACACTCCTCAGAGCATTCTGGTTACTACACCTTTGCTCTCTGCTCTCTGTGGAAATGCATCTTGTCTCAGAGCACTGAGAGACAAGATAGTTGTGGTAAGAGTCATTGTGTCTGAGAACATTTTGATTACTATAGCCTTGCTCTCCAGAAATGCATCTAGTCTCAGAACCCTTAGAGGAGAAGATACTTATTGCAGGAGACACAACATTCCCACTATTACAGGCTTGCTCTCTGTAGAAACACATCTAGTCTCAGAACACAGAGAATATAAGATATGAACCACAGTATTTGATAACATTTCAGTTGCCTCAAGCTTGGTCTTTATGAAATCTAATCTTGTTTGAGAAGACTCAGACCTCTAATCTTGGTGATGTTCCATGAGAAATAAAGGTACTGAAGAACAGGGGGAAAAAACAACTGCATTTCTATATATATTAAAAACAAAATCCAAGAAGCAATAATAGAAAGGGAAACCCATTCCAAATAACAGCAAAATGCATATATGTAGGGATCAGTCTGCTAAAGCACGCAAGAGACTTGTATAGATTTAACTACAAAGTGCTCTTTTAATAAAAAACCAAATAGTTGGAGGAATATTCAGTGCTCATGGCTAGGCTTTGCCAATATAATAAAAATGACAGTATTGTACAAAGTTAATTTATACTTTTAATGTTGTTACCAATCAAATTATAAAGGGGATACTTTCTAGAATTATATGAAATAACAAAATCCACTTGGGAAAACAAAAGATTTAGAACATCAAAGGAAATGATGAAAAAAATTAGGAGCAAAGGGGAAATAGCTCTTCCAGACCTCAAACTCTAATAAAAAGCAGCTGTTGTCAAACCACCTGATGGTTTGAGAATAGAAAGGTAGATCAAAGGAATAGATAAGGGAGCATTAGAAACAATGGAACTCAATAACTCACTGTTCAATAAAGTAAAAAATAGAAGTTACTTAAAAATGAATTCCATTTTTGATTTAAAAAAAAACTACTGGGAAAATATGGAAGTAGTCTGGCAGAAATTAGACTTAGACCTTACACCATATTCTACGATACATTCTAAATGGGTAAGGGACCTTAATATTGTTGTTGTTGTTCAGTCATTTTCAATCGTGTCTGACTCTTCATGACCCCATTTGGGATTTTCTTGGCAAAGATACTAGAGTGATTTGCCATTTCCTTCTCCAGCTTATTTTGAAGATAACGAAACTGAGGCAAACAGGATTAAGTGACTTGCCTAGGATCAATGTAAGTAGTAAGTGTCTGAGGCTAGTTTTGAACTCAGGAATATAAGTCTTCCTGGTTTCAGGCCTGGCACTCTATCCATTGTATTACCTAGCTGCCCTTTATTATTAACAATATTAATATAAATATAATTAATGTGAAAATCATAGTCTTAAAAAAATTAGAAGAGAAACAGGTCATATGCCTCTCACATCTATGGGTAGTAGATGTTTTCTTAAGTAAAGAAGGAATTAAAGGCAATTACAAAAAATAGATAACTTTGATTATATGAAACTGAAAAGCTTCTTCGCAGATAAAATTAATTCACTTAGGCTACAAGGGAAAGTGGTTGAATGGGGGAAAATCTTTGTATCAGATTTTTCTAATAGGAGTTTAGTGTCCAGGGTGTGTAAACTGTTAACAAACACATACACACACATGCACACACGCACGCAAGACAAATAGCCATTCCTCAACACATAAGTGGCCAAAAGATGTAAACAAATTGTTTATAAACTGTTTACTATTTACAAATTGTAGTAAATACAAATGTAATGTAATATAATGTTTCTGTGCTGTAAAAATGCTAAATGTGTACCAAAAAGCATGAAAAGATCTACATGAAGTGATACAGAATGAAGTAAGCAGAGCCAAGAATATGGTTTCTATCTTGATTACAAAACTTTGAATGTAAAGAACAATCACACAAGAAGAAATAAAAAGCAAATAATAGTAAAATTATAAAAATCAACTGTGTCTGGGAGAAAGAGATATGAGAGGATACTCCTTCCTTTGCGGAGGTGGAGGGGTATACTGGTGATGCACATGGAATGTTTTTGAACTTTTTCAGTGTATTGATTGATTGTGCTGATTTTTTCCCCCTTTTTCTTTCCTTTTATTTAGTACTTTTTGTTTCATGGGATAGCTCTGGGAGAGGAGGAGGAATTCTCAGGAAAATCATGATGATGTAAAAAAAGTTATCAATAAAAACATAAATGATGTTAACTATAAGGGATATTTTTAGTTTATTAATCATGAGGGAATCCAAACATTCCCTCACAAAGTTTCAATTTTTCTTGTACAATAAGCCTTTTCCAACCAGCTGGCAGACAAATTTACTGTAATTTAGGCCTTTTTCTGTGGTAAGGCTCAAAATTATTTATCACATTTCTTTTTTAGATTTTTAACATGTGTAATTGAGCTACACAATTTAAATATATACCTTTTAAGAGTCTTCACATTAGTCTTTTGTTTTTCATATTCTAGGGTGAGTGATGAAAAGGATGCACGAGGGTATCTTCAAGCTTTGGCCTCTAAAATGACAGAGGAACTGGAAGCATTGAGAAATTCCAGCCTTGGAACAAGAGCAACAGTAAGGAATTGCCATTTTAAGTAAGAATTAGTAGTGGTGATGAAAAATAAGCCATGAAAACTGTTTTCATAAGGTGATGTTTTTCCAAATTTTGACCTGTAATAAAGTATTTCAGTAGAAATCAAATACTTTGACTTTCTCCTTAATTCAGAATTTATATACCAAACATAATTTCTGTAATGTACTTAAAATTTTAATTAATGAGATGTTCATGTAAAAATGAACCTGTTCCCTTATAAATGACTTATCTCTGAGCTTAGTGTAAAGTAATAATTTTTACAGATTTTTCCATTTTATCATTTGAGAAAGGTAATATTATTGGAGATCTTCCATATTAATTTTGGAATTTTAGGTCTTTTTAGGTCTTTAGATCTTTTAGGTCTGTTGGAAATATAATAGAATGTAGCTGGAAACACAATTGCATTGTTTTTAGGATATGCCCTGGAAGATGCGCCGTTTTGCAAAACTGGATATGTCCGCTCGGTTGGAGTTGCAGTCAGCTTTGGATGCTGAAATTAAAGCCAAACAGGCCATCCAAGAAGAGCTTAATAAAGTGAAAGCATCGAACATCTCAACAGAATGGTGAGATGGAATGATATAGTCCTGTGTTTGTGAGAAGGCATTTAAAGAGAGCCCTTAGTTACATGCATTTAATTTCATGCCTATTAAATTAAGCCATTTTTCTTTACAAAGAAAAAAAAGATTACTTAATTCCCTCTTTTTTTCCTTAAGATGACATTAAAAATCATTTACTGATTACTTGCTTACTTCATGGTTTCAGCACATCTGTAATCCCATTTAGAGATACACAATGACTGCACCAGTATAAAGTCAACATGGAGAAGCAACAAAACTGGTTAAATACAGTTGTCAGCGTTAATCCCATGAAGACCCATCTTGTATTGTTAACAACTGATCACTGGTTTTTACTTGGTTGACATGCTATTTGGGTGTTTGTTGGGAAGTATGTATTGTTAAAACAAGTTGTGTTAAAAGCTTTGTATTTCTGTTGGTGGAGGAGGTGAGGTTAGAGAGAGAGAGAGAGAGAGAGAGAGAAGGTAGATGTTGGTTAATTGAAAAAAATTTAACTTTTAAAATGTATCAATAAATTTTAATTTTTTAAAGTAAAGAAAACTAAAGATGAAAGACAGTAGTTTCTACAAAAGATTAAATGGCTTGTTTTATATTAAAGTGTTTTCCCCAATGCAGTATCAGCTTCTCCAGTCCAGAACCTGTTCTTATTTTTGTGTCTTAGCACATTGTATACCTGGCACATTGCAGGTACTTAATAAATGTTTTTTTTTTTTATTGGATTGGTCCCTTCATCAGTACAGCCCACAGTGCTTCCACACCTTCTGTCTGCTGTAACTCTACAAATCCCTCCTAGTCAGTCTTGCCTAATACATTGAAGGGCCTCTACTTCTTTTAGCATTTTAATGGGCACGAGTGCAGCACTTGAGTTGTACACCTCTTAACTTATCACTCTTGTTACTTGAACTTCTTACCACATTTTGACCATAGATGTGCCTTTCAGACACTTGAAATTTTTATTTTTCTGGAATCATATTGTTTCATAATTTACAACCAGTTACTGTCACTGAAAGAATTTTGGCGGGGAGAGCGTGCGTGCGTGTGTGTGTGTGTGTGTATGTGTGTGTATGTGTGTGCATGTGTGTGTGTTGATACTGGAACAGGGTAAGGGAGAGAGATAAACCAGCCTAATCTCATTTAATTCCAAACTTATTGTCAATTTCTAATATTTGTCCATGAAGATATTATAAATTTATTTGGACAGTTATTGAAAAGTCCCAGACTTAATCAGAATTATTTGTCCTTTATTTAGAAATATTATTTTAATCACAAAATTAAAAACATATAGACTGCACCGTTTCCAAAACCCTCAGGGATCAAGGAGCACCTGTATTTTAGGAATGCAGCTTGAGCTAATTTTTTTTTAATCATCTGAAAATTGTGACCAGGATTATAAAGTCCTTTTGCAGTTCTATTGATGTAATGTTCCAAGGTACATTGTAATATACTTTTAAAAAAAGATTTTCAAGTGCATCTAGAGCTTTCATAAATTTAAAATTAATGGATCTGTTTTTTCAGTAAGCCAAGGAAAAGAAGCACTTCCCAGGGCTCGCTAAGCTTAGCAACAAAATAGGGGACAGCACAGTTCTGAAAGTTTAGAATATTAATAATTATCTCAGTAATATTGTCTATGAATAAGTCGTTACAAATGAGTTGTAAAAGAACAGTGGGTGGATTGAAAAAATAAATTTTGTAGTCAAAGTATAAATTGTGTAAATATGCGGTTTTCTTAAACGTAGTAGACCATTAAAAATCTAAAGTGTCTTAAATGGAATGGAAAGAAATTCATATATACATACATACGTGTGTGTGTGTAAGTTCAATTTTTGTGTGAAAAGCAAACCCATAAAAATAGAATATTTAATTTGTTTTTAGTTTAAACTGGAAGTCAAACATGCTTTATTTAAACTTTTATGGCTCTTAAAAGAAAAACATTATTGAGCATGTGATCCAAAACAGCATGTGGAGGTGCCATTTAAAATACTGTTATATAACAATACTGTTGTACATCAAAGTAAACATAAACTTTTCATTTACTCAAGGCATATCAGTTTGATGTGAGTCAACCTCAGAATAGTAAACAAAGGCAGTTTTATGGTTCCATCCTAAATAAGTCCTAACAGAATCTGAAGCATGCTTTTATTTCATGGCATTGTTTTTTATTTGACAATTCAAGTTGGCCAATATTAGTTTTTAGTCTAGAATTCTTAAATAAGCCTTTCATGTGACAGTAATATGAATGATGGGTTAAGTGAGGGAATAGCTAGAACTTAGTAGCTAATTACATCTTTTTCTCTTTCCCCATCTCTCCCCCCCTTTAAGCAAACTGCAAGAGTCAGAGAAGAAGAATGTGGAACTGCTTTTGGAAATTGAAAAACTGAAGAAGGAGACTGAGGAGCTTAAATCCGAAAAGGGTATGGAAGCTGGTGTCCATATAAATCATTTCTCATTGTACTACTGTGGATATATTTTGATATATTTTACCATATTTTACTATATAAGAAGCTGTTTACAGTTTGTGTATGAGAAATACTGGCTTCACAGAGCTGTTTATTCTGGGGTTTTTTGTTTATCTTGGTAAGATCTATTTTTATAGTAGGAATAAATATAATTTTGCACCAGTTTGAACTCCTTTTCATTAGTATAGAAATTTCTATGAACAGCTTTTTGTAGTTGGAAAGAAATTCATTTGAAGTTACTAAACCATTGTCACTTTCCATTTTGGAATGTTCTAAGTTGCTGTGGCATGATGTAGTATGAATATGTGATTGTATCTATAAAAGAAGACTGTTAAGTTAAACTTGTCTTTATTAGTCATCTGCATATGTCTAGAAATTTGCTACCTGCTCTTGGAGGCACAAAGGAAACATTATTCGTCTCCTGTCTTTAAGGAACATAGAATTTAGTTCAGAAGATAAAAGTGATACATAAAATAACTAGATGAGAAAACAAAGCATTAATGAAAGGGGTAATTAGCTAATGAAGAGTTGTTTTTGAATGCCATGTTTTACCTAAGTTTATCAAATGAAATGCATCAAATGAGCCTATCATATATACTCTGAGATTTCCGTAATTGTTACTTTTTCTTACCAAACACTGTGACCACCGCAAAAAGAGTAATGCAACTGTTTTACATTTCTCTTAAATGTACTGCTTAGAATTTCCTTTCCTAACATCGATAAGACTTAAACAATACTTTCTATCTCAAATGAATATATATCATCAGTAGATAATATACTTTTAGCAAAGAACCATGGAAAATTATGGTAAATTCATAATAAGATAATAATGATAGGTAGCATTTATATATAGTCCTTTAAGATTTATAAACATTTCAAAATATTATCTCATTTGATCCTTACCACAACCCTGAGAGATAGGTGCTATTATCATCCCCATTTTATAGTTGAGAAAACTGATATAGAAGTTAAGTGACTTTTCCAGGGTCACACAGCTAGTATCTGAAGTCAAATTTGAATTTAGGTTTTCTTGATTCCAAATAATTGCCTTTAAGAACTTTTCTTTTCATAGCACATTTGTAAATCAGTAGATTTGCCATGGCATAACTAAAGGGAGGGGGGGTGCAAAGGTGCCAAAAACACCATTTCTGGGGTACTTGTCCTTCCTCCTGGATTCCGTTAACAGTGAGTTTGTGCCAAAGACAACTTTCTTACTCCTTTATCCTAGAAAACTCATGATATCGTGGAGTTAGGCAGACCTTTTCCCTCTAAGGCCAGACCCCAGTCAAACCTCCATTCTCCTTAATGCCTGCCCTGAGTACAAAATTGGTTAGTTATATTTCTGATCCATTATATGTGCTGGAGAAGATTGGCAGAAAAGGAAAAGTGATGCACATAATGAAGGTACAAGAGATAAGCCCCTGAGCGCAATATTCCTAATTTTGCAGGTGTTTAATAAATACTCATTGAATGATTTGTTGACTGTAATAGTGGGTGGAAGGAGGGAGGGAAAGAAGAGAGGGAGAGAGAGTGAGGAAGAAGGAGAGAGAGAGAGAGAGAGAGATAGAGAGAGAGGAGAAGGAACTCAGCAGCAGTGATTGGTACAAGGGAATGCAGATTAGGAGCCATAATGCCCTAGTGGTATAGCTCCAGACTTGGTTGAAATTTGAGAGGGATAAAAAGAGATTGCTTGGCGAAGAGAAGACGAAGGTGGACAAGACATAAATGTGGTCATCGTAGTGGTCCGCATTTCCCAGATTAGAACTACAAAAAAATTCTGGTTTGTTGCCCATCACCAACACTTTCGTGATGTACTCATTGTGTCTTAATACGTTGTTTCCCAAACATTATAATACATTAAGCCATTTTAGAAAGATTAAAAAATAACTCTGGCATTACGTGGTGCACTGTAATTTAGGTCCAATTTAGCATTTTAATGTAATTTTGTTTTAATGGTGATTCGGGCTAAGAATACAACAAAATAACATTTGCAAAAATGAAGCATAAATAAATATGCAGTTTTATGCAGCATCTCTAAACATAGAGATTATATCTGAAAAAGTCACAGGTAAAAATGAGTTCTTAAACAAGTATGACTTACTCAAGGTGCTAAAAATTGTATTTGACTATATTTTTAATGTTTCAGTAGCACGTTTATATTGGAATGTTATACTTTAAAACTGAGTTTTTTAAGGACAATGCTATTATTTAGAAAATAATGCATGAGACTTTATTTTAAAAATTATTTTGAGACAAACTGTAATCTGGATTCTTCATTCTGTCTGAACAGGTAGTCTAGTGGCTAATACCTTGAAAAAATTTTAAGCCTAATTAAGCAAATTATTTTATATAATATTTCAATAAATGCATTGTTTTCTTACCAGAAGTTGTTTATATTAGCAGATCCATCCTATGCATTTCATAAGAATGTTTCAAAGCAAAAATATCAGTTGGTTAGGAGAAATCAGCACAGACAACTTGAGTCAGTTGAAAGGCCCCTTTTATCAAAAATATTGTGGGCCTCTCAAGAAGATCAGAAATTTTGTTTAAGCTCTGTATTTTAGTGAGGAGGGGGAGAATGAAATAATTTGAAACTTAAGAAGCAGTTTGTGAAGACTGATATGTCTATTATTCCATTACAAAACCTACAATGGGTATACTAGGAAAAACGCCCACAGAATACTCTGATCTTATGATGTATAATGCTAAGGAAAAAATTATTACCAGTATTGAATATATTTTGGTTTGAGTGCACGTACATACACAGGATTTTGATGATCATTGAATACTGTGGCTTGGGAATGCCTTTTAACAAACTCAGGCAGAAAAGGTCATCCGTGAAAAGTAGTTTTGTTCTCAAGCTTAAAAAAAGTTGCTGCTGTCTTCTAGGTGTAAAGCACCAAGACTCACAGAATTCTTTCTTGGCATTTTTGAATGCTCCTACCTCTGCTCTGGATCAATTTGAAGTAAGTGTAAAATCATTTAATTTCTTTTTCTCTCATTTTATAACTTCATGTTATTTTGAAATTTTCTTATACTTATATAAAAACTATCAATCAATTAATAAGTGTTTATTAAACATTTGCTCTATGCCAGGTGCACTGTGTTTAAACATTGGGGATACAGAAAAGGAAAAATAGGCATTATTACTTTTCAATTCCATCATACATTAGCACCTTGAAACCATGAAATGAAAAAAGAAAAAATGGAAAGGAGTATGATTTGGTAAACAGTCCTACTGTAATTTTATGTAACTGAAGTAACATTTCTTTTAGAGCTGAATGACTGCATTTAGTGGAGAAAATCTGAATTTGAGAGTCATTATATCTAAAAGTTATACTGGTTATTGTTTATTGATACTTTAGATGTTTTCTTCTGGTTTAATTTTATTTTTAATAATTTGTTATATTTGATCATATTTGGGACATAATATTTAAATTATTTAATTACTTTGTGGCATGGGAAAAAAGCACCACTCTTTAGTTGTAGTTAAAGGGATTTATAAATTTCTTGAGTAAGAAAAGGTATAGTATCTACTTTGTTCCCTTATTTTCTTGAATTAATGCCATTTACCATTTTATTTAATTGTTATAGGAGATTGGAGTTATTATTTATTTTTATCAAATTGCTTCATACATTTTTTTCTATTTCTTTATTGCTGTATTCGTTAAATAGGATTCCTTTTCTTCTTCCTCATCTTCACTGATTGATTTTTTGGATGACGTAAGTCTTTCATCTTCAAACAATGCACCCCTCAGTAAAAGAGATCAGTGAATTGATTTGGAGAATCTATAAATTAATGCAGTCAATTTAAGGAATTGTAGAATAAATTATGGGTATACGATGTTTCTACATTTTTCTTATGCATGAAAATAAAATAATACACTATGCAAAATGCTTTGATTATCAGAGGATCTGTCATTTTTCCCTTCATTCTGGTCCCCTTAAATAATTCTCAGATCTGAAATGCTGATTTAATTTAATCACCACTACTTAATATTTTTATTATATGTGTTAATTTCTATTTTCACTTCTTCCTTTTCTTTCCTGTACATTAATCTTCAACTTCTTTGGATCCTCTTCCTAAAATATTTTTTAAATTTTGTTTTGTTGTTCATAACTACTGATTTTTAAAGACTTATTAAATTCTGTTAAGTGGCACAAAGGTTAAGGACAATGAAATTTAGGCTACCAATAAAGTTTTCTTTTAATGTAGAAATGGACTTTGAATTATTTTGAGTTAGTACATGTATATCAATGTAAATTGACTGCATTATTATTTCCTTCCTGAATTAAACCTATAGATTTAACCATTTAGATAGCTCCCATCAGATAAACTCCATTCATCCTTCTTACATAATTTCTTCTCATATGAGTTCTCTATATTCCATATTAAATGATATAATAATCCTTAATACAAAAACATTTTTTATCGTATTGAAAATGCTATGCTTCAAAAAGTGTAAGGAGGGTTGGGGGAGCAGTGGGATGGTGCCATGTCAAACATAGACTCTTTTTATCAGAAGAAAAATTTGGAAATGCTATATCCCTTATATTTTAGCGGAGTTCTAAAAGCATTCTTAAAATTACTTAGCACATGATAATCAGCGCATGTTAATTGTGGTTATATCTTAATGAGAAATCTTTTTATTATTAAACAACAGAAAGTCTGGCTGCCTTGCTGTGTTTGAAATAGTTATATAAAATTTCACATTTTTGTTTAATCTAGAATGTTCTATTATTTTTGTGTTGAAGAATAATTTTGGGTACCACTAAAAAGTGCTATATATAATGATAGTATTTTTATGTAAATTATTGCTAAAATCTCCTAAATTATAGAATAGTTAAATACAAGTACCATTCACCCTCAAAAACATTTGAAGAGAGTTTAAATATTACTTTAAGCTTCCTTTTCTTCAAATTTTTTCTTTATAACTTATGTCCCTCACTCCTGCCTCTATACACTTTTGTCTCTATAACATAATTATACAGAGTATTATGACAAAAATAAGGTACCACCATCAGAGGCATTCTCTAAATTAAGGAATGCTCTGGCATTTTCCCTAATTGCTGAACTTGAATTAACTTTCTGCTGCCACCAACCAAGTGTAAAAAAGCATTGGGGGAAGATGGTAGGGACTTCTCTTTGAAAAACTATGATATTATGTGTAGAACATTTCCCCACTTAGTACTTCCTCTCTGGAAATACCGTTACCCATATTTGCTGTATTTTAACATATGCAGCTATTTGAAATGAATAACAGACTTTACCAACTGTGTAAGAAGATTCTGTGGTATGCAGGGTGGGGGAAGGTATGTATAGAGTTGAAGTAACCCTCTGGTGTTGCTTGGCTTGGCACAAATTTAAAACATCAAGCATTGACCCTTCTAGGAATTCCCTATCCTCAGTCTCTCAGTCTACAATCTCTTTTTATCTTTAATTTTTGGAGCACAGTTCTTCCTCCTAGTTCACCATTTTGTTCTATTCTCTATGTCAAGCTGTTTTTTTCAGTTTAGGCCTTAGGTATATCCCCTTTGTCTTCTGATAGAAATCGCTGTTCTGATAGCTACCTGCTGCACTAGCTTAGCACGTTTTCCTTCTATGTTCTGCCTACACTTAATTTCCTTTCTTTAGCCTCTTATTTCCCTGAGCTGAATTATCCATATGCGTAAGTAATCCTAGGTTCTAGTCTTCTTTACTCCATTTTTCTTGCTTCCTCTGACTCTGCCCTTAAGGCTTTTCTAGTGTTTCATTTAGCCCACCCCTATCCTCTACTACCCCCATCCCCATTCCTATGTTCTCTCTAGCTTTCTTTCTGTATGGTACCGCATCATCAATCTACTTTGCTAGAAATTCCATCCCTCACCAAAAAAGGTCATCGTATTCTTTTCTCAGAGGATTTCAACACATATACTACTATGTTAAAGCTCATTGCTGTCACCAAATTTTAACATACACAAGGCTTGTATTTACTTTTTGCTATAATAAACCTCTGGCCTTCATCTGGGGTCACCATTCATCTCACACTGACATTATTATATAAAGGTTTTTGTATATTATAATTATTACTTTTAATTTCTTAAAAGAGTAACACTATTTTAAGGTTATAGTACAGTCAGGTATACTGAAAATATAGGTAAATTAAAAATTGTTCCTGTTTCTATGTAGCTACTATTCTATCCATAAATAAGTTTTTAAAAACTAGAAATATACTCTTTTGTCAGTTATTTTCATTGTTATCCACAAAGATATAGGAGAATGATTTCTGGATAGTTTTACCCAGTCTTGTAGCTAGCTCAAGTTCAGTCCAAGGCATTGACTTACCTCTATACTTATTTGGATCTGATTTCATGGATATAGGTAATCTCTCCACTGTTATAGATCATAACCTATCTATTCCTCCTTATTCCATGTGATTCTTACCCATGATAGTCCACAGATCCTTCATAGAAGATCTACCTAATATATATTAGAGGCCTACAAAACATGCTAACTTTAAAATTCAGGTTAATTCTCTACTCTCCCAACTTTTCATTCTGCTATGAATCTTTCAAAACAAAAACGAGAAAAAAAAACTTCTTTTGATTGTTCTAGTAGATCATGGCTCTTGTTTAATTAAAATGTAGGCTATTATTTTTAGTTAAAATATTTCTTTTCCATGTTTAATATTTGTCAGGTTTCCCTATTTCAAATTGTGTATCTCTAATGAGAATGTGTGTGTGTGTGTGTATGCATTTTTTTTCCTGCCTCAAAGGTGGAAGCAAACATTAAATTGAGTTAGGTCCTATGCTGAGGGGGTGAAATATGATGGAGCTGAAAGAGAAGAAGGAGTAGTAAAGATGTAGGAGTAGATTTTCATATTGTCTGCTGTTCTAAATTGCTAATTCATGCCAGAGTAGGAAATGCCCAGTTTTCTTCTTGCTTTAATAATGGCTAAAAATCAGAGAAGTAGAGTTGGAGGTAAGAGCTATGAGTTTTGTAATAACTTTCAGTTATAGAAGACCACCCCAGCTGCTTGTAAAAGGTTGCTCAGGGTCTAAATCTGAAGGAATATTAATAACTTTGAAATAAGAACTTAAAAAATCTAGTAGAAAGATATCTAGTTAGTATAGAATTGCCCTTTGCTTTCCACTGGTCACTCTGAGTAACTTACACTTTTTCTACTTTTCTGTGAGAGTGTAGTGGTCACAAAGGCTCAATCATCCCAGGGTCTTAGAACCTGCTCTCATCTAGCTATACATGATGCCACATGTTCTCATGCACAGCTAATCCTAGGCTCTGGAAAGTATCCCCAGTTTTATATGTGAGTCCACATGTGTTTTCTCCAACGAACCATGACAGGAGCTTCTAGTAGTTTATACTTTGTGGTGGTAGTGACCTGACACAAATTCATTTATAGCTTGAAATTGGGGCTGAGTAGGGCCAAGACCAGGGCTGTACTTCAATACAATTGAAAAAGAAGCCATGTTTGTCTATATTACTTTTTAATTTTCACCCCTTCCTGAGAACTTAGTGCTCAGATTTTATCCTCTAGCTGTCAAAAGCTACTATAGGACCCTACTTAGGCCTTCTTCCTTCCCTTATACAGTACCTAAAATTACCTGTCATACCTTTTCTTATGCCCTTCAAATTCACATTAAGGAATAATATAGCTAATGGCACTACCACAAACCTTCCTAGCATATTTTCTTGATAATACAAATGAACTCTTATTAGTAGAATTTTTAAATAGTATAAGAATATTGTATAAACATAGAGACTGTGTAACTAGTGCTAGTGTCTTCCTCTTCATACCTTTTACCTTCAGCCATACCTTCAGTACAGCTTTTCTTTGGTTTCTAGATTTCTGAACATTATCATATACAACTTGGCAAGTCAATTAGTTTGGCTCGAATGTTTCCAAAATAATAAGTTGAGTGATTATCTAAGTGTCATGAGCTGTGATGGAAATATAGCACCATAGACCTTTTTTTTTTTTGTTAAGTAAATTACCAAAAAAAAAAAAGGTCTATGGTTTTATGGTTTTTAAGGATAATTGTGTGTGAGAATTTTTGTAACATGTTTTCTTCCTTTCTCTGTTGAAGCACTCTCCATCCTGTATTCCAGCTAGCAAAGGCAGATGTGTAGGAGACCACTTATTTAATCCTTAGAATCCATTAACTAATTCTCAAAAAAAAAAAAACCCAAACCCAGATTATACAAGTGTAATCAAAAGATATTCCATATTCTAGACTGAAAGTGCTGATGGAAAGGATCTTATAGATACTAAATATATGTTTTAAATGATGCAATTACATATAAGAACAAAGCACTGGTTTCTTTCATCTAGTAGGCAACTAATTTAGATGTTTATATAAAACCGTGTATTTTGTGGTTTACTGTAATTATCCCATTGGGGAAAAGTGTAATTTGCCCTTTTCTATTGAAAACATAAAAATAGATGTCTGGGATTCAGCTGCTTTTACCCAGAGGCAGCAGATGCTTCCTGAAGATGAGCATTTTTATTGTAGATGACTCATTATCATTTTTAGTTCTAAGCAAAATCAGATTTAGGTTATAATGTAGGTTTCTAAGAAAATGTGATATTGTTCATATTCAAAGCTATTTTTACTGACTGTTCAATAGAACATGCTCTTAAGGTTATTGTAAAAGTAAGGATAGATTTTCATTGAGCTTTCACAGTTCTTTCAACTGATTGCATTTGAGAGAGAGCTATTTGGTTGTAGAATAGAATTTTTTTCTTTATGTGGAAGTATCTAGGCCATGAAGGGATTGAACCTGAAACTTTGAACTCATTAGCCTCTTGCCTTTATCTGGAATAAACAACAAAGAGTAAACTTGGAGTAATGGGAGGTGGGCAGAGGATTTTACTGGAAATCAGGAGAATTGGATCTTGCAATTTTAGCTTCCTATCAACTTATTAAATAACCTTGGATAAATCACTTTAATCTCTCTCTTCATGTCTTAGTTGAGGTCCTCACCTGTAAAATGGGAAAATAGAAATAATCACTGCCTTCCCTGTTATGGTTGTTGTGAAGATAACTAGAAAAATGTTTTGGAAAAAGTTGAAAGTGCAATGCAAGTGCTAGACGTGTATAAAATTATATTGGTGGATAAATCTCTTTAACTGTCTTTGTATATTACAAGCTTGGATGTTATTTCAAGAAATTCTTACTATTGTTTTTGAGTATCCAGAATGGGGTATATCTTTGAAATACTAGTATTACTTAGTAGGAATTTTTAGTACTTGCACAGTCAAAGGATCATCTATGAAAAGGGTTAGTATTTGGCAATTAAAGAGCCAAATTACAGAATTAATTATCCTTCACTTAGTGGGAATCAGTTAAACATTCAAGTGCCAACTATATGAAATATACCAGAAAAATGAAGTTGCAAGAAGGTAGTTGGTTTACAGTGGTATTTTATAAGTCTCCTTGTGTATACATAGTCCAGTGTAGAGCGCTGCTGTCTGTCAAACTACCTAGTGTTTTTGTACTGTCTTATGCATATGTTCTTTTTTCCCCCCAGAAAAATCATCTGACAAATATATATGGTTTTGTTTTTATCATAAAATGTGGCTCTCTTCTCTCTCTCTTTCTCTCTCTCAATATATATATATGTATATATATGTATATATGTGTATGTATCATTTGCCTGTTAACTAGAATTTTTAAGGATAATTGTGTGTGAGAATTTTTGTAACACATTTTCCTCCTTTCTCTGTTGAAGCGCTCTCCATCCTGTATTCCAGCTAGCAAAGGCAGACGTGTAAGAGATTGTTGTACTTCCCCACCCCACTCCTATTCCCCCATTCCCATCTTTTTTGCCTGTGGTTGCAGAACATTCTATGCTGCCTTTTTTGCAATGTTTTACTTACATTACTGCATGTTTTGTGCTGCTCTTGCTGCTGCTGCTATTACTGCTGTGCTTTTATTTTACTGCTTTGAATTCAAAGCTTTAGGAATGTTCACATGATAGTGTTTCTTTGACCAACCTGCCAGAATGATGAAAGTTTGACTTTCATTTGATGTTGATGTCAAAGGAAAGTAACGTTGAAATTATCTTTCAAAATCAGTCAAATAGAGAAGTGTCAAATTTATAAGTGATCTCTTAGATATAAGCATACATTTAGAGATTTCCTAGGGATGCCCAAATATGGAAGGTTTTCATGGGATATCATAATTGTGTCTGCTCAGAAATATTTCTCATTTTCCCTGATAAGCAGAATAAGGTTATGCATTTTCTGAGGTCTTTTTAAAATAAAGTTTTACATAAAATTTGTATATTTCCCTAGTACACTAATATTTGATAAAGAGATCAATGAGAATATATATTAAATCAGATTTCCATGAAGAAAAAAAATTAGATTGTTAGATCTCACTTAAAATTATTTATAACCTAGACTAATTTGTAACTTTGGTTATTTAAGAAAGTTACAGCTTCCCAGTTGCTATTACGAAAATAGTTGAAACCCCTTTTGTAATTATATCGTGGTATCTGTTCACAAAAATAATTTCTGACATCACTCAAAGTTTGGAGTTAAAAGTAGCTTCTGTTTGAACATTTTAAAAAATATTGAAGTAGATGCAATTCTCTGGAATTCTGAAATTTCAGATGTCAAGATGGTCCTGAGGTAAAAATTTTTTTTTTTACTATGTGCTTAAAATGTATATTTACATAATCTCTTTTCCAATAAATTGGAAGCCCACTGAATACCTACACAAATCACGTAACCTTTGTGGGCCTCTTCTATAAAATTAGAAGGTTAATAAAGTACTCTAAAGTACCATAAGTGAGACCACCATGTCATTCTCATTTTCAGATTATACAGTGAGCCTTATAACATTATAACAGATGTTAGTGTTGAACCTAAGACTCTTAATTGCTAGACTTTTAACCACTAGTACAGTATTCTAGCCACAGTATTATGCTACTTCTAGGAAGAAAAACAAAATTATTAATAATATAAATATATTGTTCTCAAGTATAAAAGAATGGAAATTATTTTTATGTAGTCATTTATGAGAATAGATATAATTTTTACTTAATTTATTTCTGGTGTGATCATAAAAGTAAACATTCAGAGAGATTTTATTTTCTAGCTAGTTTTACTATGTGTATTCCTACTAAGAAATTTCTTACTTACTTTGATGGTCACATATGTGGAAACTTTAGCTATCAAGACCACGGCTATGAATACAAAAGAAAAATAACATCCACGAAACCCATTTACTTTCTTGCTTAGGCATGGCTTGAAGGAACCCTTAGTCAAAGCCGATTAATTTAGAAATGTATTTTTCTTTTAGAAAAAAATTTCTCATTGTTCATCTAGTTTCTCTCGGAAACCTTGAATACATCACTAACTGAACAGTAGATTATGTAAGGGAGTGGGTGCGTGGGATAAAGTTGTTCCTACAAACTATAGTAAAGTAACAGCTGACAGGAAATACTAGCCAAAGCTAGAGAATGGCCAAACTGTTCAGTAATTTAGATATATTTAGTGTAGGGGTATATTTGTTTGCGTAGCACAGTAATTACTTCTTATGTTGATGTCAGGCATCAAAAAATAGTTAAATTATGTCTTGATGCTATGTGTATTGAAGTTGAAAAAGTTTTAAGTATGTGTACATTTTAGATTTATGTTTTAAATGGCTTAAATTTTTAAAACTCAGAGTCTTTAAGAGGAAATTCATTTGTATGGATCCTTTTGTTGCTTGCCAGATAATTCAGATATTGCTATATAAGTCAAGTCTACTAGCACTTACTAAGCACCTGTTATATGACTGCTCTGGGTAAACAAAAAAAGGCAAAGAACAGATCCTGCTGTCAAGCAGCTTACAGTCTAATGGAGTGTTTATGTTATTCTTTCTAACATAATGTTATGTATCCTGTTGTTATGGCCATCTCTAAATCTTTATTGCATGCTATTCATACACATATTTAGATGATAATTATTTTATTATATCTTAAATATGTTGCAGCATTTAAAAACTGGATCCTTTTAAAATTAGAATGAATAAAGACATAAAATTCTGCTTAGCAAAATGTTAAACAAAAACCTTATAATACTTTTTGGAAATTTATTCCATCCTTTACCAGTTACTTATTTCATATATGTTTAAATGAGCAGAATTCCCAGAGTGAGCATTTAGGAGGATTATCTGTTAGTGAAGCAGTGATTTTTACAAATAGAACCAATAATTCTACCCCATAGTGATTCTCTCATGACTTCTCTATCAGTTCCACTCCTGTTCTAGCCTCTACTTTACTTTTATTCTACTCTCAGCTCCATAAGATTTAGCGATATTTCTGACCCACATCCTTTCTGTTTGTACTTGCCTCCCTTCTCTAAGCCACCCTTATAGTATTAAAACTTTCGAAAGGTAAAAAGACACTTCTTAGTTGAGAAACTAGGAAAGCAAGTCAAAGTATATTTATTCTCCCTGATTCATTTGCCTCTTCCCAAAAATATCTCTATATAAATTAGATCATATTTTAAAGTTTGAACATTTTTAATAAATTACATTGTATTTGCTTCTTAAGTATTTATAGTACAGGAAAAACATTAATAATACTATTTTCAGTTTGTAATCACAAAAAGAGGAAAGCTTAATATGGCTTCTTTGCTTTTAAGAGTTTATCTTGTGAATATATTCCTTCATGGTTCCTTTACATTGCAGGTAGGTGGAAAAGAGATTATTTTCTTTGCTGTTATCTTAGAACATTCAAAAATGAGAGTAGACATTAAAACAGATATTTATGAGAGAAACAAAAGTTTGATTGTTGTATCTCAGCAATTATTCATAATCTAGGCTGATTTGTAACTTTGGCTATTGAAGAAAGTTACAGCTTCCCAGTTGCTATTATGAAAATAGCCAGTACTCCTTTTGTAACTATATCAAGGGATCTATTGACAAAAATAATTTGAGATATTACTTAAGGTTTGGGGTTAAAACTAGCTTCTGGAATATTTGAGTATTTTTTAAATGATAGTTGCTGCCAGTAATTTTCACAAGGCTTCAAAATTAAATGTGTGAAAAATGGTTGTATTGAAAAGGGGGCTTCATCTTAATCTATTCATTTAAGAGTTTTGTAAGCATAATATGTATTAAAAGTAATAGTTACAGATGAAAACAGATGAAAAGCATTGTTTTTGTTAAAGATGATAAGCATTGTGCAATAAAATATATCAGAGCACTTGTTTAAAAATGCTTAAAATTAGATGTATTGAAAATATCTATATTTGTACTTGTTCTCTACTAAAATTATTTTTCTGATAGAAAAAGCTGTATATTCTAGATGACTGGTTTTAATTATGTTATTTACAAGGAGCTAAACTATATAATTTAATAAATTCTTAATGTTTGTTATCTAAAAATCAGACAGTGATTTAAATATGAAGGTACATTTGTATTTTATTGTTATATTCTTAAATTCTGAGGATCAATAACTGGAAACTCCCAATAAACAAAAAGAATTTGGTAAATTCCTAGATGACTATTATCCAGTGGCAGAAAGATAATGTAATCAATTTCTAAGTTGATGAAATAAATTTAATAAAATCACATTGGAGCCCTTTCTAATGTCCTTCATTAATTGGTTCTGAAAATTATCATTTTAGATATGCTTCTTTTTTTAAAAAATGTATTTCCACGTTAGTCATGTTGTAAAGAAGAATTAGAACCAATATGAGGGACCACAAGAAAGAAGAAGCAAAACAAAATAGAAGAAAAAAAAGAGCAAATAGTGTGCTTAAATCTGCATTCAGACTCCATAGTTCTTTTTCTTGATGTGGAGCGCATTTTCCACCCTGAGTCTTTTGGAGTTGTCTTAGAACCTTGCATTGCTGAGAAGAGCTAAGTCTATCAAAGTTAGTCTTCGAACAATGTGGTTGTTACCGCATACAACATTCTTCTGGTTCTGCTCACTTCATCAGCATCAGTTCATTTTTTATAAATCTTTCTAGGTTTTTCTGAAGTCTGTCTGCTCATCATTTCTTATAGCACAATAGTATTCCATTACATTGATTTAGCACAACTTGTTCAGCCGATATCATCCTTCTTAAAATATATCTCTACTCAGGCAAAATAGCCATTATTTTGCCTTTTAATTAAGGTATTTTTTCCTTACTCTTGATTGATTAAGTCTTAGAAATCTCAAATTGACTTGGTTAGGTTAGAATTAATTTTCAGTATCTCTTTCCTTGAAATCTCTTCCGTTAATTAGTAGTAGTTTACTACTCATTATCTCTTTAATACCATTGCATTTCATCACGTTTCCCTTTTTACAACATTTCTTTCTCTATTAGAATCCCTTAAGTTACTTCATTGCTGATGAACCTTCACACTTATTAACTCTTACTACATCATTGATTCAATTTATTGTTTGTACAAATGATTATAATTTTTTTCCTTTAGCATGTGGGACACGTTTTTGTTTGTTTGATTAACTGAAATGCTAATAATGATTATGTTTTCAAGGACCATTGTTTTGGATACTTATAAAGGTACTTTTACAAAGGAGGATAATTTTCCATTAATCAGTTGCTTTATTACCTTATTACAACTGATTCATTACCTAATTTCTTCAAGTATTTCATGCTAAATCATCTATGGGATATTTTTTTAACAGTAAATATTCTGAAATACAACAGAATCTAATGAAGTAATTTTGTCAGTCCCAGTTACATGAATTATGTGCATAGAAAATAAAAGGATAATATCCCAAATAATTTTTTTCATTGTAAGTTTATTTCTGTAGCTGTCTTT